GAAGACCAGGTAAGGGAATCAGCTTGCAACCTTTTGAGAACCGGTCCACAACGACGAATACGCAGGTAAAGCCCTCTGAATTGGGTAGATCAGTCATGAAGTCGACTCCGATGTGTGACCATGGTCGTCGGGGAAGAGGTAACGGCACGAGCTTGCCTTCAGGGAGTCTTCTTGGGGTGTTGATGATAGCACAGACTGAACAACCGCGGACGAACCTGGAGACATCTCTGGAGATGGACGGCCACCAGTACCGTTGACTGAGGAGCGAGAGGGTACGCTTGCTACCCGGATGTCCAGAGCCCGGAACTGTGTGAGCTGAGTCCAGAAGGGGAGTACGAAGATGTTGAGGTACGAAGATACGCCCTTCTGGACCTCCCGGCGGAGCAGATTGGCATGCGAGCTCCTGTGCTATTTGTTGGTCAATTTCCCAGACGATGGGACTGAGGATTACGGCTGGAGGGAGGATAGGCTCTGGATGGAGATCTTCAACGGAGGTATGATGGAGTCGTGATAGTGCATCAGCCTTGCAATTCTTACTTCCGGGACGATAGGAAACCACGAAGTTGAAGCGTGTGAAAAACAGAGCCCAGCGGGCTTGTCTAGGGTTCAGTCTTTTGGCCTCCCTTAGGTACTCCAAGTTACGGTGATCGGTTATTACCGTGAATTGATGGTTAGCTCCCTCCAGCCAGTGCCTCCACTGCTCGAGGGCCAGTTTGATGGCCAGCAGCTCCCGGTTACCGACGTCATAGTTCCGCTCCGCCGGGGCTAACTTCTTGGAGAAGAAGGCACATGGAAGGAGTTTGGGTGGCTCACCCTGCCGCTGAGAGAGAACTGCTCCTCTCCAGTAGAAGAGGCATCCACCTCTACCACAAACGGAAGGTCCGGGTTGGGATGGATGAGGATAGGGGCAGTGATGAATGTTTCCTTTAATCGCTGGAAGGCCTGGACTGGGGTGGGCGATAAGGACAGAGACTTGGGCTGACCCTTGAGTGAAGAGGTGAGGGGAACACTGATGAGACTATAGTTCCGGATGAAACGTCTATAAAAGTTAGCGAAACCAAGGAAACGTTGCAGTTCTTTTACAGAGGAGGGTTGTGGCCAGTTCTGAATGGTTTCCACCTTCCTCTGGTCCATTTGAATGCCTTGCTAGTTGATTACGTAACCCAGGAAGTGAACGGTAGAGGTGTGAAACTCGCACTTCTCCAGTTTCAGATATAAACTGTGTGCTCTCAGCTTTTCGAGGACCTGGATGACATGTTGATGGTGTTCTGACATAGAAGATGAGTAGATGAGTATATCATCAATATAGACGATGACAAAACGGTTGAGGAATTCTCGAAGGACTTCATTCATGTGACCTTGAAAGACAGCAGGAGCATTGGACAATCCGAAAGGCATAACCTGATACTCATAATGGTCGGAGGGTGTCACAAAGGCAGTTTTCCACTCATCACCATGCCGGATTCGGATCAGGTTATATGCACTTCTGAGGTCCAGCTTGGAGAAGATGCGTGCTCCACGCAGCTGTTCCAGGGCGGCAGGGACCAGAGGAAGGGGATAACTGAATTTGACAGTTTGCGAGTTAAGATGACGGTAGTCGATACAGGGCCGCAAGCCTCCGTCCTTTTTTGCGATAAAGAAGAAGCTCGAAGCGGCAGGGGAGGTAGATGGTCGAATAAACTGTTGATGTAAAGCTTCTTCCACATACTCCTCCATGGCCTTCTGTTCCGGGATGGACAGAGGGTAAATACGACCCTTACGAAGAGTGGCTCCGGGTAGCAAGTCGATTGTGCAGTCCCATGGCCGGTGTGGAGGTAATTTAGTTGCCAGTACCTTACTGAATACGTCCTGGAACGCCTGGTACTCCACTGGGATTTCGACTTGAACTTGGACCTCTGGGCTTTCCACCGAAGTTGAACAGACAGGAACTTTGGACTCACCCGTAGATGACTTGGAACGAGACGAAGAACGGCGTTTCTGGATGGAACTGAGGCAGGATACATGGCAATCTTCACCCCAACGGAGTACTTCTCCAGTTCCCCAGTGGAGTACTGGCTGATGTTGTACTAGCCAGGGACGTCCCAGGATTATATCCGCTGTGGACTCCTCCAGCACCATAAGAGAGATTTCCTCTGAGTGTAGACAGCCGATGCGAAGAGTTAAAGTGGGTGTATAATGGCATATTCGACCTCGACCTAATGGCTTGCCTTGTATGGTGTGGACGGGAAGATCTCGGGACAGACGGCGTCGCCGAATATTCAGTTTTTGGTGAAACTGGGTGGATATGACGTTCCCTGCAGACCCGGAGTCAACGAGGGCTTGCGCTGGGAGACAAACACAGGAGGTTAAGACATGTACACTGGTACGTATTAGATGCTCGATCTTTGGAGAAAGTTGAATAGAACTCACCGCCTGCCGTGGAGGTCGAACAGGGCAAGCACTGAGGAGATGCTTGTCTGACGCACAGTACAGACAGAGGGAATGTTGAAATCTGCGCTGGCGTTCAGAGGCTGAAAGGTGGGTGGAGTCTACTTCCATAGGAACTGGTGCTGGAGGAGTAACTGATGGAGCCGGAGGCGGAGATCTGACAGTGGGTACAAACCTATCGCAAGCGGTGAGACGCTGGGAGGTTCGGATTGTCTGCTGAATCAGATTCTCTAACCCCATGATGTCTTCATAGAACACCAACAGGTGGCGTACGTCGGTATTCAACCCATGTCGAAAGGCAGTGATCAGGGCGGTTTCGTTCCAGCCGCTAGCCGCGGCTAGAGTGCGGAATTGGAGAGCATACGAACTCACTGATGAATTTCCTTGACGGAGGTTAAATAGTTGGTCATGAATGGACAGTTCAGATATAGTTTGCCCAAAAACCTCTTTAAAGTGCTGTTTGAAATCTGAGAAGGATTTGATCACCGGAGAATCTGAATCCCACAATGACTGTGCCCACCGAAGCGCTTGACCAGATAACAGTGATATAATGAAAGCCACCCGGGCGGTGTCATTACTGAATTGATGCTCATTCATAGCGATATACAAGGATACCTGCAGAAGAAACCCACTGCAGTTCTCCGCCTCACCAGAGTAGGGGGCTGGCCGGGCCATGGGACTCGCGGAGGCAGTGAACGAAGCAGCGGGAGGTTGCGGAAGTAGAGGTGGTGGAATGAATGCTGCGACGACCGGAGGATTAGCCGATGAGGAATCCTCTTCAGACCCCGACGGATTCTGCATTTTAGTGTGGTCTGGTCTTCTGTCAGGGATCACAGAGGAAGCAAACAAGTTGGTAAGTTTTACTGCTTTATTTGTGCAGAGGGATCGAAGTCGGAGATAACAGGTGAGAAACCAATGACAAAGAAACATAAAGGAAGCTTAGCTGAGGTTAAAGTCCTTTTCTCTCTTTCACTCTCTTTTGCAGGTGACTTGACGGTAGATTGGTTCTGGCAGACTGGTCATGGACGGATGGAAGGCAGGTAAGGAACAGGTAGGTATTGGAAGTCTGTGAGCCATGAAATGACGAGACCAGACAAGTGACTGCAGTGAAGGTGAGTGTTTTATAGTCCATATTGGTGATGGGACACAGGTGACGGTGATCAGTAATCAGGGGATAATGAACGGGGAAGTGTCTGGTTGGGTGAAAGGGAACGAGTGGGTGGAGATGATGATCTAGATGGTGATGGAATCCTGACAATACCGATATATTGTAAAACACTGACCTTATGACCTACTTGTCTAAAATGAGACGCTATAGGACTACGCATATCTCCGGTCCTAATATTACTGCGATGTTCGCTAATGCGAGTACACAATGGTCTGGACGTTTAACCAACATATGCAAGACTACAAGGGCAACAAATTAAATAAATCACATGAGTAGAAGCACAGGCAATAGTACCACGTATCAGAATACTGCGGCCAGTGCGTGGATGATTAAAGGAATTGCATTTATGTGTAAAGGCACACTGGACACAACTGACACACCTGTAATTGACTGGAGGAAGAGTTGTAATACTTTGTTTTATACGTGAAGGAAATTCAGATTTTACAAGCAAGTCACGAAGATTGTTTTGACGTTTAAAAACCAATTTCGGACCATTTTAAAAAACACCTGATAATTTAGGATCACTTGAAATAATATAGCATTAAAAAGTTGTGTTTTATTATTATACTTAGTTTGTAAGCATTGTATCTGAGATGTCTCATTGAATTTCTTTATGGCATTATCGATCCATTCATTACGGTAGCCACGATTAAAAAATCTTATGGTTAAATCAATCAGTGGATTGTTGAGAGTAAGATTCATCTGTGCAACAAACTCTACATACACGCTTAAATTGACTAATAGGCAAACTCTTGATTAAAGGTCTAGGATGGAAACTATCGCCTCTTAAAATAGGATTACTTGGTTTTCGATACGGATCGGTATGGAGTTTCCCGTCACATATGTATACTCTAACATCAAGAAAACTGATGCTTACTGGATCGCATTCCATAGTAAAATTCACATGCTCAGTCCTTGAGTTAAGATAATTCAAAAACGTCAACAGCTCTGCAGGTGTAGCCTTAGTAATCATAAAAATGTCATCAACATACCGTTTGCACCTTTTCTTTCAGTCTTTGTCCGATCTCTGTTGTGTTAATGTGTTTTCCCTGTCTTTCAGTTTGTAGAGTATTATTATTAAAGGTTGAATTTGCATCTGTAATCTCAGTCTTCACTCTGTTCCTGAGATAATCACAGTCTGAGAGTAGCAGGTGACAAAATTCTCAAGAAAATTTTGGTTAACATTGAAAGCCATGTTGAGGATGTCACTGTGAATATTTAGACAACTAACATTTAACACTGTTCCAGCTTTTAACTTCAACAGATATTAACCGAAGTTTTAAAAAAGTGCAATGGAATATACTGAGGTCCTGCATTTCAGTCAAACTGTTTATGATACCAATCTTACTGCATTTTAATGCTAAACTTGCCATCGTTTTAAGTATCCTGTGTTTTCTGTAGTCACTGACTACTGTGAGAAGACCTATCACAGACGGCTGAAAGGAAGACCAAGTTTTTGCTGATCAAGACAAATGAAGGATTCAGTTGTGTGATAGTCAGACATAAAAAATGAGCACCTGGCTGATGATGATCTGGGTATCTCTCACTATGGGAACAGGTAAAGAGATTTTACTCATTTTGTAATGAAGCAGTTTGTTAAATAAGAATTTTAGTCTCTAGAAATATACTTCTAAATTCATACAAAATCAAGTTGGTAACACTTTATTTCGATAGTCCACTTTAGACATTCTACTAACTATAAGTAACTTGTCATCTACCTACCAGTCATTAGAGTATTAGTAGACTGTCTGCTTAATATCTGCCAACACTTTATTTTGATGGTCTTCCAACATACCGACTATAAGTAACTTTGCAAGTACAGTACATGTCAACTTATTCTACTAACCGTACCCTAACTGTATACTAAAACTACTAAAATGAAAGTTAGTTGACATGTAGTTGCAAATTAATGAGTTGGTTGGCATGTACAAAAGTTACAAAGTTACTTATAGTTAGTAGAATGTCTAAAGTGGGCTATTGAAATAAAAAGCAACCATCAAGTTTATTTAAAGGTACTAATGGGGTTCAAAGGTTAACGTTAAGATTTAATTTTAACATTGGTAGGCGGGTAGGCATGATCATTTTGAAGTTATTAAAAATTAAATGCTTCTTTACGTTGTTCAAAAATCTGCTGTATAAAAGCCCCAATAGGAAAGAGTCCAAAGCATTAACATAAATGTCACAATATTTCTCATCTAGCGACAAAGGCGTTCATTGTGACACAGTTGCCGACAGTTGCTGAGGTGATGGCTGGAGAGGATGTCATTTTAAAGTGCAATATTGTGGAGTTGTACTCCCCGTGTTCCACGGTGGCTTGGCTGAGAGTCATTCCTGAGAATGCAACAATCAGCCTTACTGACAGACTTCAAATCGATCCTCATCACTCGTCCAACCAGTGGACCAGCATTTGTACTGCTGTTATCACCAATTCAACAGTGCATGACTCCAGTATGTACTATTGTGCAGCTGTGCAAAGCCGCTTTGCTCACATTGGCAATGGATCCCGGGTTATTGTGAAAGGTGAGTCTAATTAAATATAATAATAATAATAATAATAATAATAATCTCTTATTGTGAATTAATAGTTTATAGTAATATATGTACACAGAAGACAAAAATGTAATTATTGGTGGCACCATCAGCTCAACTTTACAAAAGGACTTTAAGAAAATTGTCATTTACTCCATAAAATGAGTGTGTAATAGTACATGAACTTTATAGCGAGATTTATCAATAGCATTTATATCCAGGATTAAATATTTACCTAGAATCAATAATTTTTCAGTTTTTTAATATAATTTTACATTTCATTCTTGTTTTTACACGCTGAATTATCCATGACTCCCATTTATACACTCACTCTTAAAAATAAAAATAAAGGTTCAAAAAGGTTTTTTTGCAGTGGTGCAATAGAAGCATTTTGGCTTCCCTAAATAACCTTTCAGTCAACATTTCTGAAAAAATTACTTTTTTTTATTTTCTTAGTGTGACTAACATTTTAATAATCAAAATAACTTTTTTCCAATGGAAAAATTCCATTTATATTAAAGGTTTTGATGGAACCATCAATGCCAATAAAGAACCTTTATTTTTAGGATTGTAGCCTATGTGCCTCACACTTTTAATACAACTGATTTACAGTAAACTCATTGAATAGCAATATAACATTCTAAAGTCTTTTATTGATGGTTAGTATTTCTCTCCATTATAACCAAATGTTTCTCTTAATCTCTTTCCAGAACACACTGTGTTTCCTGTTATTGATATTCTGACACCGCTGATCCCAAACGGTCTTTTAGTCCCTCTTCATTGTGTTGTGACCGGCATTGAGGCTTCTCAGATTCATATGTCCTGGGCTGTAGAGAGGAGAAAAGAGAAAGGACAGGCAGTTTTGACACATGGGAATAATGGTGGTATCCAGATCACCAGGAACCAAATTCTGATCACTGCTGAGGAGTGGGATAGGAAGGTGAAGTGCGTGTGTGTGGTGAAGTTTAGAGGACAGATCTATACCAAGACCCTTCAGCGACATCATGGTACAGTACAATATCTCTAAAATATACACTACAGTTTAAGAGTTTGGGGGAAAATTTTTTCAAAGAAATTAATACTTTTAATTATCAAGGAGGATACATTAAATGTATGAAAAGTGACAGTAAAGACACATGCAATGTTACAAAATATTTATGTTTCATATAAATGTTTTTTTCAGGGTTCGGTCACGTCTGTCTATTTCTTGGTTTTGTGAACCAAGAATCTATTTCTTGCTTACACTCCTGTTTTGTCATGTCTTTGTGTGGTCGCACAGCTTTGAGGGTTCTCGAGCCGTGCGCTCTCTTATCTGTGTATGCCTGTATGGTGTTTGGATCCCGGCACATCTCTCTAGATTCGGGGGGATTCCGATGAAAATATTAATCGGTGCTACTGCTTTTAACATTGATAATAATAAACAGCAAGTTGAGCAGCAAATCGGCATTTTAGAATGATTTTTGAAGGACTGATGGCTGCTGAAAATCAGCTTTGCAACCTGGAACAAATTACAGGCAGAAAGTCAGATTGGTGAGCTGGTCCGCTACTGCAACAACCTTAACCCTCAGGTGCTCTTCGGTCATTTCTGACCGAAACATTTTCTGTTTCGAAATGTTAAAAATCACAGCTTCATCGGAATGTTACGAAACTTGGTGATTTCTATGGCATTGGGTATGTGAACAGGTCATGATCCGAGCAGGCTAAGTGGTCGTAAAAAAAATAGTAACACTTGTGCTCTTCGGTCAAAAATGACCGACCATAGGAAATGAATGGGAAATTGACAAAAACACAAAAAGTCTGAGAATTTTTGTCAGTGCAATCTACAAATCAGCCACGATGCAGAAAAAAGTGCTCAACAATGAAGGGGTGACACTAAAACATCAAGAGTGCAAAACAGACAGTTTTAGTCTTTTCCTTACTCAGAGTTGCTCTCAGATCATTCCCGAATCGCTCTTAAGCTAAGACTCCTACGTAAAAGTTTTTAAGCTAAATTAAGAGTTTTCTGAGAGGATTCTTAGAATCTTTATGAATACGGGCCCTGGGGCCGTATTCACAAAGAATTTTAAGGCTTAAAGTAGCTCCTAACTGGCGAATTTAGGAGCAACTCCTAAAAATAATGGGCGTGTCACTCCTAACTTTAGGACTCCTCATTTTTTTCACTAAGAGTAATTCACGAAGCAAGTGTCGTTTTTCATTATTAGGCAAGTGGCGGTTTTCATTGGGGTATTAGGCTACCTTGATTTAATTTAATTTAATTCACGACTTTTCTCTCTCTCTCTCTGCCTTTTTAGAATCACACTTCACTGGGGCCTGCACAAACATGTCATTATATATGCATTTCGATGACATTACTATTATTATTTTGTGTAGGACACAGACATATTTAGATGTCGTAATTCCATGATTTGTTGCGTCTGTGTTATGTTCCGCATGATGGCCCTATCATCTAACGACCAATCACCGTGATCATTGCGAGGAAGCTCGTGCATGAGAATTGATGTCATCCATAGCAATGAAGACTCACTCTTAGTTTAGGAGTTGTCATTTTTTCTTACTAAGAGTAGGTCTGAAAGGCGTTGTGAATAACTTTTAAGAGAAAACTCCTAGCTAAAATATTTTAGTGCGATTTAGGAGTACTCAGTGGTAAGATCAAATTCTTCGTGAATACGGCCCCTGTCTCTGTATTAATCTGAAATACTGCAATAATTAAAAAAATATTTAAAAAAATTAGGATTTTTTTGGGGGGTTTTTTTGGCAAAAATGGACTATAAATATTGCATAAATATTAATAAGTAAAATTCTCTCAAAATACAAAATTAAAAAGAAAAAATATTATTGAACAAAAATAAATTGCATTGGTTTTACTGGGATGGAGAAAGTTTAATTTTTAGGTGTCCGGTCACTTCTGACCGGGAAGATAACACGTGTGACTCCGAAACGAAGAGCACCTGAGGATTAATAATTGAAGCTTTCCTTATTGTTTGTATAAAACTCCTGACTCAATAAAACGTGATTTTAGTTGGATCTGTTTGTCTGTCTTTAATTTTGCAGTGTTACTGTGATGTATGTATATTAATTATCATGTTAGGCTAGTAATGTAATAGCCAATGTTAGCAGTGCAGCATCTACTGGACAGCCCGAATTTGCTTTTATAAGTTAGGCCTGCATTCCACTTGTTTACGTTACAGACACCACTATGCTATAGCCTACACGAAACACGTCTTTTTTCTGCCTCCCAGTTGTGTGCGCAAGCAGTGATGACTTTGCCGAGAAATCCATGTATATTTCTGTATATAAGTACAAAATAGTTATTTTAATTGTAATTATTTTTCACAATTTTACGGTTTTCACCGGATTTCTGATCAAATAAATCCATTCTTTGTGAGCATAAGACTTCTGTCAAAAACATTTAAAAATGACCCCAAACTTTTGAACGGTAGTGTTTAATTAGTTCCTAATTTATTTATTCAGTGGTTTTAATGAACATCTTTATATTTAATAATCTGGGTTTATTTTTTCTAATGTACTTTTTCCCTTTTTCTCTCTCTCTGCAGATGCATCAAACGTGTGCTATGCTGTAAAACACATATATCTGTCTCTCTGCTTCATTTTTGGTTTCCTGCTTCTGATAACAGTGATTGTTTATGTTTATAAACTGGGACGAAAAACTTTTGTGAAGATGTGTCAATGCAAAAACTTATTCTCTTGTTCAGTCTGACATTTTGGATCACTGTTTCCAGGTCCAAACGCTACCAGATGCCCCAAGAAAACAACAAACGGTGCTAATATACACTCACGATGGGATGTAATATGAAAAATTATAGTCTTAATCTTCATCTCCATACCGAAATCCCAAATGGCCAGACAGTAATTCATCTGTTATGAATCATTAAAATACTTGAGTTTGGGATGTTGTGAGTACAAAGTAGGCCTAGTGTACAGCGTACATTTTTATGTGTGTGCATATGTGTAGGCTATATGAATAATTATTGCTCATAAACGGCTGTTGAAATAATATTCTCAGTCACACTTGGACCCGGAAACAGCATTCCTTAATCGTGACTTAACAAGCGGATATTCAAAGAGTTTTCAGTTTATCTATTTTGCTTTGACAAACTTTTATTCGTCAAACTTATTTTGTTTGGCATTGCTGTACATCAGATGAAAGATGGCAATAGTTACTAACATACTAATATTTGAAATAAATTGGCATATCTATTTGCAGGAAGCATGTTTCATGAGTAATTGTGATCTTTTTGATTCAGATTTTTATTGATGTTTATTTGATGTTTTGAATAGTGTGATATTTTGTGAAATGTCAGTTAATTTAAAGGATAAATCTAGACTTTCACCCAGGGCTGAACTCATTCCACAGCATAATATTTTTTAAAAGGAATTATATACAGTATATATATATATATATATATATATATATATATATATATATATATATATATATAACACTTAGTCTTATCTAAAACCTTTTTGGAAAAAGTCAACATTATCCCCCTTTTTTTTAATAAAATATATACAAATGTATTGTTTGACCCACCTTTTCTTGAAATCATATGAATTCACACCAAGGATCTCAAACCAAAATAAAATAACATATAAACATTTTTGATTTCATATATAATGGTATTAGTTTTTTTTTCCTATAGCCTATAAAGTGTCAGTCATGTGTCACTGAATGGCAAATGTAATTATTAGGAACAAAGTACCAGCAATAAAGAGAATTGTGCCTTATGTGACTTTGGTTATGTGTGGCAGGGTCACAGACAGGAAGTGATTTTTTCTTTCCTTCAGTGTTCTGTTTTTCTGTGTCCTCTTTTTTGTGTGGTCGCATGCACCACATGAGCAAAATGGTGATGTGGACCTCATATCATATTGGTTAATGTCCACACCTTGCTTTGTCAGCGGAAAAACTTCAGTCTCAAAAGTACGGCAACGAAACCTCAGAGATGCATAATTCCAACCCTGAAGTCTTTGGCGGAAGAACAGAATTGCTGATTTTGTTGAAATGAAGTAGGGCACAAGTATGTGCCACATTGCTTTAGTCTTAGATTGCATTCATGTATTTGGTAATTATGATCTTATTGTGTTAAAAAGATGCCAGTTTTTGTGTTATGCATCAATCATGGTTTGCAAGGCTGGCATACAATGACGGACATCTTTGCACATCTTAATGAACTAAACATACGAATGCAAAGAAAAATTAGAATTTGCTAACTAGCACAGACAAATAGTTTGGATTCAGATCAAAGCTTGCTATTTGGCGATGATGTCACGGTTTGGGTTTTGTTTCTTGTTCCTGGTTTTGTCTTGTCATGTGATTCCGTTTGTCATGTGATCCTGCCACGTGTCTTGTCATTGGTTAATCGTCTGATTATTGTTCACAGATGTCCCTTGTCTTGTCGTTAGTCTTGTGTATTTAAGCCCTCATGTTTGCCCTGTGTCTTTGTCTAGTATTGTATGTTACCTGTGAATGTTACCAGTCGTTGTTCTTGTTTCCAGTTTCTAGCCTTTGTTTTTGTTTGAACTTATGTTTATTATTAAAGTTGCATTTGGGTTCGCTACATCTTGCCTCCGTTGGAGTCAATTCATGACAGAATACTAGACCGCATTATGGACCCAGCAATCCGCCTCTTCCGCCTCAGCCAGGGAAACCGTCCAGTCGAGGAGTACGTCAAGGAATTCTGCGAGCTTTGCCATGGGGAGGATTTCAATGATGCTGTGTTAAAGGATATGTTCCGCCCATGAACCACTTTACCAGCTTATGCCAGCCAATACCCCTCGGAACACTCTGGTGGAGTATATTGACTTTGCCCTGATGTGGAGTGGCTCGTCGTTCAAGGTGGGCTCTACGGATGAAGAGCCTCGCAAGCCCACGGCACCATCTGAGCCTGAGGTTCACGTCAGAGCCCGCTGATCCTGAGGTTCACGTCAGAGCCCGCTGATCCTGCGCCAGAGCCCGCTGATCCTGCGCCAGAGCCCGCTGATCCTGCGCCAGAGCCCGCTGATCCTGCGCCAGAGCCCGCTGATCCTGCGCCAGAGCCCGCTGATCCTGCGCCAGAGCCCGCTGATCCTGCGCCAGAGCCCGCTGATCCTGCGCCAGAGCCCGCTGATCCTGCGCCAGAGCCCGCTGATCCTGCGCCAGAGCCCGCTGATCCTGCGCCAGAGCCCGCTGATCCTGCGCCAGAGCCCGCTGATCCTGCGCCAGAGCCCGCTGATCCTGCGCCAGAGCCCGCTGATCCTGCGCCAGAGCCCGCTGATCCTGCGCCAGAGCCCGCTGATCCTGCGCCAGAGCCCGCTGATCCTGCGCCAGAGCCCGCTGATCCTGCGCCAGAGCCCGCTGATCCTGCGCCAGAGCCCGCTGATCCTGCGCCAGAGCCCGCTGATCCTGCGCCAGAGCCCGCTGATCCTGCGCCAGAGCCCGCTGATCCTGCGCCAGTCCTGTTCAGCCCAGAGTTTCCTTCACCGCTGGTCCTGCCCAGCCTAAAGCCCTCTTCACCGCCGTGGCCGCCCGAGGGGTCTTCACCGCCGTGGCCGCCCGAGGGGTCTTCACCGCCGTGGCCGCCCGAGGGGTCTTCACCACCGTGGCCGCCCGAAGGGTCTGCTCCGCCCTGGACGCCCGAGGGTCCAACAGCTCCGCCCTGGACGCCCGAGGGTCCACAGCCTGCTCCGCCCTGGTCACGCCCTCAGCCTGCTCCGCCGTGGCCACGCCCTCAGCCTGCTCTGTCATGGACACGCCCACAGCCTGCTCCGCCCTGGCAGCCTGTACGTCCAGCTCCGCCCACGTTCCATGGCCCAGGTCCGCTCACGTTTCATGGCCCATGCCCGTCATTGCAAGGCCCTGGTCCCGTTCCCTGCGCGGACCTGGCCCTCCGTCCCTCCCCCAAGACCGCCTCCACTCACCACCCTCCTGAACTTGTGTTTTTTTGTTTGTTTTGATGGGCGTCGGGAGCCGCCCATAGAGGGGGGGCTATGTCACGGTTTGGGTTTTGTTTCTTGTTCCTGGTTTTGTCTTGTCATGTGATTCCGTTTGTCATGTGATCCTGCCACGTGTCTTGTCATTGGTTAATCGTCTGATTATTGTTCACAGATGTCTCTTGTCGTTAGTCTTGTGTATTTAAGCCCTCATGTTTGCCCTGTGTCTTTGTCTAGTATTGTATGTTACCTGTGAATGTTACCAGTCGTTGTTCTTGTTTCCAGTTTCTAGCCTTTGTTTTTGTTTGAACTTATGTTTATTATTAAAGTTGCATTTGGGTTCGCTACATCTTGCCTCCGTTGGAGTCAATTCATGACAGATGACATGTGGAAAGAGCCACTCTATAAATGTTTCCCCCATTCAGACAGCACTGCAGCATTTTGTGAGGTCATTTCTAGCATAAAAAACCCCTTGAAAAAAAAATGTCTCTTTTATTTCCTTAAAGGGTTAGTTCACCCAAAAATGAAAATTCTGTCAGTAATTACTCACCCTCATGTTGTTCCAACCCCGTAAGACCTTCGTTCATCTTCGGAACACGAATTAAGATATTTTTGATGAAATCTGAGAGCTGGATCACTCCTCCATACTAGTCCATAGGCTTCTTCAGGGATTGAACTTGCCGGCCTCGAAAAGTTATTAAAGACATCGTTAAAATAGTCCAAGTGACTACAGTGGCTCAATCTTAAGTTTATCAAGCGACGATAATACTTTTTGTGCGCAAAAACCCCCCAAAAATAACGACTTTATTTCAACTATTCATTTCCTTCTCTGTGGGCCTCGAGTCAGTTCACTAGTGTAATAGCGTAAGCTTCTGTTGTTGTACGTCACACGCATCACGCACATGACCAGCGTCGGCCAATAGTGAGCCTACGTGTGACGTAGCTCTACGGAATCACACTACGTTAACTGAGTAGAGGCCCAAAGAGAAGGAAATGAATAGTTGAAATAAAGTCGTTATTTTTGTTTGTTTTTGCGCACAAAAAGTATTCTCGTCGCTTGATAAACCTAAGATTGAGCCACTGTAGTCACTTGGACTATTTTAACGATGTCTTTAATAACTTTTCGAGGCCGGCAAGTTCAATCCCTGAAGAAGCCTATGGACTAGTATGGAGGAGTGATCCAGCTCTCAGATTTCATCAAAAATATCTTAATTCGTGTTCCGAAGATGAACGAAGGTCTTACGGGGTTGGAACAACATGAGGGCGAGTAATTACTGACAGAATTTTCATTTTTTGGGTGAACTAACCCTTTAATCCAAAGCCATTGGCTGGTTAAGAGACACATTTCTAATCTGCAATGGAAAAAGGAAATGGACTTTGAGGCAACACGAGCAGCTCACTAAAATGAGACAAGACTGTGGTTTAATGACCTAACTTTTGCCAGTTTCTGGTTAACTGAGGCCAAAGAGTATCCAGTCATCGCAGACAGGGCAATCTCAGTGTTGCTATCATTTCTCACAACCTGAGCTTTGATTTCTAGACTCTTACTTACATAAAGAACAAAAACAGAGAAAGGCTGACCAAGAGCTCTGTGTGTCGGCCGGCCAGGATATCATCTTTGCGTTCATCAAAACAAGCTCAAGCTTCAGATTAAATGTGAATAGCCTACTACTTTTGATGTGCCATTTTAACATGCCATTTGAAGAGTTGCAATGCCTGTTTGTGCATTTTTGTTATATATATTATACACAGTTACTGTTATAAAACCATAATAACTAGGGATACGATTTTAACTGATGTTTTCATTTCTTTCGATTTTGGGGGTTTTGGTGTTACAGGTTAATGCTTAGATTCTGCCTTAGTAACTGTAAACGGTTCAATTTATGCAGTTTTGTAATGGGTAGAGAGTTATATCATGAATAAAACTAAAGACAAGAAATGAAGCTCCAGGTCCACCTGAGCCGAGCTTCAATGTATCAGTTTTTTATCAACAAGCTGATGAAACGACCGTGGACAGACAGGAAAAGGTGTGTGATATGTCAGACTCTGCACATTTCTCTCAGTTGCTTTGGCCTGTAAAGTCTTCAGACAGCATGCATGACCTCCTTTTTCTTGTCTTGTTCAGGTTAATTTCGCCACACGGTAAGCTACAACAGTATTTTTCTCTTCATTTATGCATTTTAGTACATTTGTAACTAAAACTAGTAATTAAGACCATCAAAGTAGCATTTATGATATTGTTGAATTTTTCACATTTTGAGGTCTGAATCCCTTTGCAGCGATGGCGGGAACAGTTTATCAGTTTCCCCCGTCAGTGAAAGAGAGATCGGGGGATACAGTGACCATGCACTGCCAACTCAATGAGGTGCAGTCATTCTGTCACACAGTGGCCTGGGTCCGAGTAAATCCAGTAAGTGGAATCATAGACATTCTGCAGGATGCAAACATCCCTCCTCAGACTAAAGATGAGGTGGAAAACCCAGTGTGTCAGGCTTCCATCTACAACGCAACGGTACAGGATTCTGGGACATATTACTGCATCGCTACAGACCGTGAGCATATGTACCTTGGGAATGGCACAGCTGTCACCTTACATGGTACTGTATTAGAACATGGTGGTACTCGAGGTTTGTTTTGATAAGAAAGCTCAGGTGTTTATTATATAATTACTATATGTATCAATCCTTTTGTTATTTTATCTCAGTAAAATTGCATCTCTCTTTCTTCTTGCAGCTGACAGCACTGTTATGCCGTCTGTTGATATCGTGGCATTTGCCAGCAGCAACAACCACTCTACAGTCACTCTTCAGTGTACAGTCAGGGGATCTGCTCCATCACAGGTCTTTGTGTACTGGCTCATAGGTAGTAGAAAAGAAAATGGACAAACGTTGGTTGTTTGGGAAGAAGGCGAAGAGAACTCAGTGAAAACTCAGAATAATGTAGCGGTATCAGCTGAGGAGTGGAAGATTGAAGGACAGAGCACCTGTGTTGTGAAGTTTGGTGGATGGATGTTCAACACAACTCTTCATCATTATGGTAAATAACTTTTCATAATCCATATACTCACTAAGTTAGTAAATTAAAGGTTTTGTTATCTGTCCAAAATGTTGATCAGTATGATTTATTGACTGAACTGCTGTAAACATTTTTGATTCCTTTCTCACAACACTTTTCATTTTCTTCTTTTCCTCAGATATTCAGGACACTTGTTATCCTCTCGTCGGTGTAACTAGATTTTTTGCACTTGTCGCCGCTCTTCTCTTTTTCATTACCTCATTAATATTAGCAGGACGCTTCTAAACCACGGAAATTTTGTATTTGATTCTGTGACCTGAAAACATCAAATAAATAAATACAATTTGTTACAAATAAATATTTTTGCATAAAGCTTGAATCAACTTTATTTAGTTTGCATAGGTTTTATTTCTACATTGGCAGGGATACATACTATACAAGACACTGCTGTATTGATGAACTTTTAGGATAATTATTTGCTTGTTATGTTTATGTGAGTACATTTTATGCAAATGTGAGATGTAAAATTTGTGAATAAAGATTACATTTGAATAAAGGCCTACTACAAATTATAATAACAAACATTCTAATGTGTCATCCAGTTTCTGCCATCCCATTTTTAAGTTAGTATGCAATGCCTAATTATTTGCATGTGGTGATGGTGCAGTGGATAAGACACATGCCTTTGGTGTGAGAGACCCGGGTTTCGAATCCACTGTGAAACACCAATGTGTCCCTGAGCAAGACACTTAACCCTAGTTGCTCCAGAGGTGTGCGACCTCTGACATATATAGCAATTGAAAGTCGCTTTGGATAAAAGTGTCAGATAAATGTAAATGTAAATTAATTTTGAACAGTGATGCACGTGTTTGTCCAAGGAAATGCAACAAGGCAGAAAGTAAAGAAATAAAAAATACAAATGTGTTCAGATACATCACATTAATTTTTTTTTTTTTTTTTTTTTTTTGCCGTTGATATGGACGTCTCCCTGTATTGAGAATGAGAAGGTGACGTCACGCGTATCACTCCGCGTTCCATTGTGGGAAGGATTCGCCATCTTGGTAGGATACACTATCCGTTGTCATGGTTACTTCGACCGTGAGACTGAGAGAGATAGCGACAGAGAGAGAGAGCAGCTTGATATTTGTTTGCATTTTTGCGATAAGGCACAGTTTCTTGGGAATAAATGAAGAAGCGGGAAGCAAAAGGAAAGGGGCTCTATCGGGAGAGACTAAATAACAACACCAAGCAGCGTTATTTAGAGAAACTACTTGACATCAACATGGACCCGTCCGACCTGCTACAGAATGGACGAAAGACCCAAAGCACTACCACCTTTCACATACGCTGACATAGTTAATTACCTGGTTTGTTTATGGTATCAGTGACTAACGTTACTGCCTACACAATGCAAGAGTTCAGAAGCTTTAAGTCATTAGAAGCTGAACAAGTCTGCTGCGGCTGGGTGCACGACTTAGAAACCCCCAAACCTGTAACGTTAAACTGCGAGAGTTCAGTCATACTTGATGTTTCAGGCCTCATTCATATGTGGAAATAAATCTGATATGAATCAGATACGTGCATTTGCACCTGCCGTGCAACGTTAAGCGAACAGTTCGGACATTCCCCTGTCGATGCGAATCGTACGTCATTTAAAAAAGTGTCTTTTTAAAACATTTCGCGGTACAGATATATCTATAACAAATGAAACAACTCTAGATGAATAACAGAGTATTAATTTCGTTCGTTTGTGTTAAATAAAAGGCGAACTGTGCTGAAATGTGTTGCTTTTGAAAGCAGGCTTTGCTCGCTGTTGCTGCTGTCAGTTTATTGACAAGCAGTTTCTCTAAGCTGGCTAGCATTGTTATTTAGTCTCTCCCGCTAGAACCCCTTTCATTTCTCTTCCTTCTCCATATCTTCCAAAGAAACTGCGGCGTATCGGTAAAATGTAAACAAACACTAAGCTGCGCTGTCTCTCTTTCGCTATTTCTGGAATGTTTTAGTCGCGCCTCTGTGAAGTTCTGAAGGCGTTGCCCCTGGCAACCGATAGCGTCTCCTACCATCATGGCCGACCGGCTCAGACCCCGCCCAAATCGGCACGTGACTCCTCACTCTCAATACTGTCCATGCATGTTCAAATGCAAATCATTTATCAATCATCTGGGGCCAGTTGTTCAAAGGTAAGCTGATTGGATTGGATCAAATCTTGAAAATGGGTTGTTCAAAAGGGAAATAAGGAATCTGAAATCAGATTGGATCATGGAATCCAATCCTAGTTTTAATCTGGATCAAACCTTCAGTTTGTGTTGTTCAAAACTTGTCTGTAGGATTTGGATAACTTTGATCCAAAAAACAAAACAAAAACAGGATTATTCTGATCCCAAGAGGGATTTCAAGGTGGGTATCAAGGTGGGTTTCAAGGGTTTCAAGATTTCAAGGTGGATTCCAGGAAGAAAATGTAGTAAAACTTTAAAATTGGTCAAATAATACATTTGTATCATTTAGTATATATACTTTTATTTATATTTTGCACTTGACTTGTGTAACCATTGCAACCGTGATCAAGTAGATAAAGTAGAAATAGGCTACCAATTAAGCTATTCAGTATATAGTAAAGTATATATATATGCTGGTCTCTCCTCCTCAGATGAAGAAGAACCCTGAACATTCTTGTCAACTATTGGACATTTGGCCATTTTTTAAAGATGTTTTCAAAATATCCACAATGTATTTGTTAATGTAGGGCCTATATTTGTTTTTTATTTGTTGTGGCTCAGATGAGGGGTCATAAAAGAAATTATGAATGGAAGTGGATGTTTATATTATTTTTGTGTTTTGTCTCAAAATATAATATACAGTGACCCTGCACTGTAAACCCTAACGCTCAAAATACTTAATTGGTTTGAGTAGGAAAAACTTAAATTAAACTAATTAGTTCAGTCAAATTAACTTTTATGAGTATTTAGCACTTTCTTTTTCTTTCAAGTTCACAGAATGGATATATTGAACTGAACTGTTTCATTGTTTTGAGTTTTATGAAATTATTTCTTTTAATTTAGACGAACTTAAGTTTAACTGAAACGGCTGGGATGTATATTTCCCAGCATGCTTTGCCGATGGCACTCGAAAGGGAGAGTAAATGCTAAAATTAAGTGTAATACAATGTTTTTTTGTGCAAGAATAATGTTAAGCGGGTGATTTAGTAATGATTAATGTTTCGTTATGCTAATTTAGAAGAATTTCTAGAATGTTGGTTTTAGGATGGTTACCATCATGGTGACAAGTGGTGCATGAGCTTGATTTGAGAACAAATAAATCCTTTATATTGCTGCAATTGTTACTGTATAGCATACTATTGTTAAGATGTTAACAAAATAGTATGTTAGCAAATTAGCTTGTTAAAGCTAGCTAAGTTTATACTAATAAAAGTGTTCACATTGAGATTACATGAAATTTTAAGTTAAATGTATGAATTAGTGTACTCAAACATTTCAAGTTAAGAACAATTCAAATGTACAAATACAAAATAAAAATATGTCAGTTCTGCTTACTTAAACTTTGAATTTCTTAACTTAAAAAATTTGAGGCAACTGATTGCCTTAAATTTTTTGAGTTGTGGCAACTTATTCGGGTTTACAGTGTGTGTTGGCTCTTCTACCTGTTCTTTACATAGCTGGTAGCCCACATTGTAATGCCCACATTGTAATATGTTGTCCCATTTAGAGCACTGGTAATCTGGATTTGGTAATTGTAATGTTTCTTATTTCATTAAAGAAACAGGTTTGTAACATAACTTATCTTTTATTCACTTTCAGGTCGCGAGCAGCAACAGTAACAACAACGCCACTTTACTGACTCTCGGTCTGCATGCTCTACCGGTAAGTGTAATACTACTGACACCTAGTGGTTAGTTTCTGTACTCACATCTACAATGGTACTATCACTACATCCCCTTTCCATTAGAGGTAAAGAACGAGTTATTACAACTAATTACTTATATATTAGCTATAACCACTAAGCAAGCAATTTATACATTATACAAGATGTAATGCATCAACCAACAATCTCAAGAATTATTTACATTGCAATCACTGTAATAATAATCAACCGATTACATTTCCTCTTGTCTTTCTTTCTGTCTAATGCTTATGTTATGTTTAAGCAATATTCAAAGGTCAAGTCTATCAGGAGGCTTTACTGAGCGTTTCGATCTTCTCAGTACAGGTGAATGCAAATCTGAACGCATTTCTTTAGCTGGCTCTTTGTCATCCAGCAGCACTGGAAGTGTTTCAGATGTTGTTGTTGACTCTGCACAGTCTGTGTCACCTGTATATGTTACCACTAGTACTGTCTCTTTTGTTTTCAACAGACTTCTCCGATTTCTCCTCAGGACTTGACCATCCTCTGTCCTGACAGTGTAAGATCTTGGGTTCACCTCCTCCAGGACTGTGGCTCTTTTAGTCCAGGTATTGCAATCCTCAAGTCTTACTGTGTCATTATTGGAGAGTGGTTCTAGGCTTTTTGATGCCTTGTCATAATTAGCTTTTTGTCTCCGTTTCAGGTGCTTTTGTTTTCTTTTCAGGTACTTTTTTGGTGTTGCTAAGCAAGGAACTGTGGTTCCTAATCTGTGCCCCATCAGGATTTCTGCAGGAGACACACCGTGTTCTAGTGGAGAAGCACGGTAAGTCAGCAGAGCTATAAGGATCTGATTGGCTGTCCAATGCTTTCTTGAGTAGCAGTTTCACTGTGTACTCCTTTCTCTGCCTTTCCATTCGACTGCGGATATAATGGGCTTGATGTCACATGTTGATATTCCTCAGCAAACTTCTGGAAGTCTTTGGCACTGTAGCACGGCCCATTATCACTGTAAACCACCTGCTGGGAATGCCGTGTCTCGCAAAATGGATTTTATGTGTGTTATCACACAAGCATGAGATGTATTGGAAAGCAACGCCATCTCTGGATAGTTTGACAGATAGTCTATCACTAGCAAATAGTTTCGTCCATCCAGGAAGAATAAGTCAGTCCCAACTTTGTGCCATGGTTAATCTGGTGGATCAGTGATGATCATTGGCTCCTTTGTTGCTTAGCATGATGTTTCAAGCAAGTATCACTGGTTGACACCATCCTGTCGATGTCTGCGTTATTCCGGGCCAATAGATTGCAGTCCTAGCCCTTCTTTTACATTTTTCTGCTCCAAGGTGTCCCTCGTGCAGTTTTTTTCAGCATCTCCTGTCGCAGTGACTGAGGGATAATGATGACCAGCGTCGGCCAATAGTGAGCCTACGTGTGACGTGCAACCTAGAAGCTTTGCGTAGTATCACTACGTGAAATATCACGGCCCACAGAGAAGGAAATGAATAGTTGAATAAAGTCGTTATTTTTTTTATTTTTTTTTGTGCACAAAAAGTATTCTCGTCGCTTGATAAACTTAAGATTGAGCCACTGT